AAAATGGCTAATAATATGGACAGATAATAAAGCAAATACAGAGGCATTCTATACTAGCTTCTGCAAAAACCCAACTATTAATTACATAATAGCTAACATGTATATAACCCAAATACATGAAAACTATTCTATAAAATTAGAGCACATCGCAGGGAAAGATAACAAGAATGCAAACCTCTTGGGTAACAGACAATGCAAAATCCCTGGGCATGATACCTATATCCTATAATCCCAACAGAATATGCTAACCTAATAAATACAATCCCATTACTCAATCTCTAGAAACAAGAAATATGAACTGCAACTAAATGAACAGGCAGCAGCAATTTTAGGTACAAACCCACAAAAATACAGCAATAATTAAATGCTATGAAAAACTGGCCACTGAAAATAACTAGATCAATGAGGACAACACAATTTGGCCAATTGTAAGGCAGAATCTCACTAAATTTATAATATACCTACATCCAAAAGTAGCACCCCAAACTATTATTTCATATCTGTCGGCACTGAAAAACTACCATAGTATGAATCGTTTAGATTGGAATAATATACATAATGATCTGTTGATAAAGCAGCTGTTAAAAACAATTGAAGATAACCACACATTCAAACCGACCCAACAAAAAGAGCATATCACACGGGATCAGCTACGATATATAAAAACCAGAATAATTCTAGAGGGCCCTGACAATTTATTAATCTGGTCAGTTGCACTAGTAGCATTTTACAGTTTAGCCCGTCTGGGGGAACTCTTACCTAAATCAACTGAAGATACAAGCAAAATACCTACACTGCAGGCCCTAAGATTTGATAAGATGGGTATAGACTAGTGATGTGCATCATGCGCATGGTAATATTTCGGAGTTTCCGGAACATTTCGAATCTCATAATTCTGGTCCGCATTAGCAGCAACACCATAATGCGGGCCAGAATTCTATAATGCGGGCCAAAATTCCATGCGCATGAAATTTGAAAAAACGCCAATTTGCACATCACTAGTATAGATACATTCGCAACGATACAATTACCTAGGACTAAAAACCACAAGATTGTAGAACGTACCATCCTAATCATTAATTCGACAAAGGATAAATTATGCCCGATCCACACACAATCCTCAGAACCAACCCAACATATGCCCCAGGAAAAGAGTCATTATTTATCAGAAGCAGCGGGAAGCCGGCCACAAAAAGCTGGTTCATAAATATTCTTAAGTCACTCCTGCCTGATGCCAATGTGGCAGGACACAGCTTTCTCGCTGGGGCGCAACAGAGTTGGTACTACGTGGTGTCCAACTACCACTGATCCAGAGAATAGGTAGATGGTCTTCTGTCGCATTCTATAAATACATTCGAGCGCACCCCGCGACCGTGGCATCAATTCTGAGCAAAGCATATTCTTGTAACGATTGTCACGAGAATTTTTTGGAATACGATCGTTATCAGAATCATTACGGAAAATAAATAGAAAATAAATGAATAAAATAAATAAATAAATAAATAAAAAAGAAGAAAAAATATATAAATAAACAAAAGGGGAAGGACATCGATCATATATATGCATAACCATGCCACACGTACTGTGGCGAACCTACAAGCAAAGGAGTGCGCAAACGTATAATCAAAAAAAAAAGAGACGAAAAGGAAGGAGGGGAATGAATTGCGAGACAAATATGCCAACTGAAATGGCAGAATTCTAATCATCTTTGGAAGCCAGGCAGAATCCTGCCATTTTGTGGCATCTTCAAAAGTTCATGTCAAGTCGGCCTGCTTAATGCAGTGCGGGAAACCACCGAACTATCATTGTACATATCATCATACGTATCATTACACATCACGAATTCGGCTGATGACGGTGATACCCGGCACAATTATAGTTGCTATTTCTGGGAGCATGTCCAGTCTCAATTTGTACATCAACTGCGCAGATGTATGCAGCATATTCTCAATAAAAGAATCATTTAATAAAGTTTAATGTCTGGCGCTGTCAGCCAGATGCTTCCAATTAATGAATGAATATGTATACCGTGCGTGTGACGCTTTTCGAAAAAAAAAATTCAGAAGGATCGACGATCACATGACTCGAATTTTTTTTTGACACGATTCGATTTGCCGATCAGCTTAAATATAGAGAATCCATGGGCTTTTGGATCCAACCCCAAATATTTTAACCCTGATCCATTTTGTATATGGGAACCCCCACAGCAAAAGGGTGCAATGGGCCAAAAATTTTAAATTTGTAATTTTATAAAAATTGGAAACTAATTGTTATAATTCTTCAAAAAATTGAGTTTAGAAAAAAAAAATTTTTTTTGGCCCATTGCACCCTTTTGCTGTGGGAGTCCCCATATATCCGAATTTTTGAGTCCAACACAAAATCCAAATTAGTATCCAAGCCAGCCCCATACCGATACCGGATTAGTCCCACGGGATAGTCGGCTTCTATTTGTGTCTGTAATACAAACTCCTAACACGTGAAAATACTTAAAAACTAGCATTTAAGTCGACCTTAGTGCGCTAATTAAAAGTGTCGGGAACGAAAGTTTACATACAATGGGCAACATTATATTGCTATAGCTTTTAATGTTAACGTCCTAACTCTAAATTTAAATCTTTACGCACTTTATTTTATAAAATTATATTTCCTTTTTTGGGTTGTATTACTGTACCGGCACAAATAAGAAATCCATGGATAGTCCAGCCCATGCGGAGTTTACTAATTATATCGGAGTACCTGTATTATTTAGTACTCCGATAGTGAAGTGGGGGAATTTGTAAGCTCGCCTATGCGAACTCTAACATATAGTAGTAATACGTACCACTGCAGTAATGTAATTTAAGGATTTCTAACCTTAACATTGGGAAATATGATCCCAATGATAAGCTGACCACATTGATATAGATCTATGCGTACGTACGTACGTACCGCAAGTATTTGCTAAACCTAAACTTCAATGTAGTTGATTTTAAAACTGAATGCGAAAAAGCATTGATAAAATTTTAAAATTAAAAATTACGCATATAATTATGACTGTATATGTATAGCTGTTGAGAGTAGCAATAATAGACAGTTTATTGATTATAAATTAGCTTCATTATTGCTTTCCTATCTCTGTGCACAGTTACAGTCAGTCAGGGGTTTCAAAATTAAGATCAGCGAATCTTATTTTATTTTTCATATTTATAATTCAACATAGTAAAATGCTATTGAAAAAATCCTACTTATTTTCGAAATACATCACTTATTGGTTAATTTTGAAACCCCCTAGTGTTCGAGTGTTCGAAATTTAAGGCACAAATACTGTCCTCATGAGAACAGTATAATAGCTATAAGTGTTCTCAAATATTGTTTTATGTTCACGAGTAACCAAACAAATAAAAAAAATACATATTATACAGTAGTAAGAATTCATTGGTAATGAGTCAAACTTAATGCCAGCAATTAGCATGGTTAAACGGCTACAGTATCTAGTCATTATACACATTCATTACATAAAAACTACATAAGCCTTTGAGAAGTAACTATTGTATGTGTAATTTTAGTTTTGAGTTTTGTTTTTTTTTTTTTTTTTGCAACATAAGTAAATCATAAAGATTGCATAAAATGAAAAATCAGATGGTAAATGATCAATTTTAAACTTATTTTGCTGTACAAAATGCAAGTCATACATTAATTGATTCTTCTGATGAATAAACAGCCTCAAATATCGATGCATTTCCATATTATAGTTTATTTGGTTATATCATATGTTTGTAGTGCATTACTCTTTCACCTCTCTTCTTTTTTCTTATGAAATTGTACAGAACGACAAATCCCTGTCATTTGAATTAAATCGTAACCATTATGAACGATCCTTTCTATTTTGTCAAGATTTAAAAATATCACAATGATTTGTCATTTTGTATTGGCGTTTTTTTTTTTTGGTGATTTGTATATAAGTATATATATCCGTAAAACATTCTCTGGATAAGTATTGTGCATGTAAATTAACATTACCACTTACTAAAAAGGGAATACAATGATTTAGTTTAAATTAATCAATGTAACTATACCATTAAAACTATAGTTTTCTTTACAGAACCGTTTGAATATAAAATGTAATATTTTCATTATGGTATCATCAATGAAAAAAAATTATGGATCAGGCAGCAAAAAGAAAATATTGCAGTCTTTTAATGTTTGACGTTCCAACACCTTCATTCGCAAAGTCCGGTAGTAGGACAGTTCCTCCGGCACAATTTACCATTGATTATACAACATCTTTGGAAAATAG